TAAGGAATCCATGTCTCTCACTTAGGCATGAGGCAGGCCAGCCTGGGCTATGTAAGAAGGCCTTTCTCAAACAAAAAAAAAAAAGAGGGGCTGGAAAGATGGCTCAGTGGTTAAGAGCACTGGCTGCTCTTGCAGAGGATCTGGGTTCGGTTCCCAGCACCTACATGGTGGCTAACAACCGTCCATAAGTAGTTCCAGGGGAACCAACGCCCTCTTCTGACTTCCAAGGGTACTGCATGACACAAATGCATGCATATACATGCAGGCGATACACTTGTACACATAAAAAAAAACCAAAATACTTAAGAGAGGGGGAGGAAGGGGGAGCTGAAGCCCTGGGCATCATCAAACTTGTGGTGAAGGTGGTGGGTCAGGATTTTACTTTAGGTCTGCCGGACTTCCTGAGCTACATCCTCTTTGCAGGATGATATGCAGACACCCTGGAAGGATCTGTGTGCCAGCAGTCACTGACATTGGAGTAAAAGTTGGTTCACTGTCACCCTGGAGGAGCCTTTCATGAGTGAGATAGGGCTCAGGAAGAAAGAATGCCACTACAGAAGGCTCTGGCGCACCCTCCAGGTGCTTTGGGGGATTTTAACCAGATCTCAGTTCTAAAAGTAGCTCCTCTGAAACTGCGCATTAAGGAAAAAAAAAAATAGTTGAAGGCCAGGCCATAAGTTGACCCCTGTTTACGAGAACACTCAAGAGGTACCAGGCCCAACAAGCAGGAACAGGAAAGCAAGAAGCTGTGGAAAGGGGAGAAGAGGAAGTGAGACCAAGATGTCACCTGGACCACCTTAGTCACTCCCAGAGACAAGCACTCCTCCTCACTGACTGCCCACTTTGAGCATCTGGAATGCCCACGTGAGCCAGACCAGGCTGGACAGAATCACACCAGCACCAGAATCGCACACTTGACTCCACGAAATGTCAGGCCTAGACCATGCCAAGGAGTTTCTCTGGTGCCTGAGGCAGAAGACTGAGGCACACTACATGATACACGTTTATATACACAAGACATCTTACACACATTACCAGGTATGCTTGAGTCTGGGCCAACAGTGGTCCAACAAGGACATCAAGAGGTTGTTAGATACAGGAGCCAGAGTGGCTACGAGTGGACTGAGTGAGGTCCCCAGCTCCACAGCCTGTGCTAGGGAGCCCACAAGCACAGGACTCCCCATTCATTTTACTTGTCTCTAGAACTGACAAAATGGCATCTGTGCTGAGAGCTGACGATTCCTTCCTTTCTCCTGCTTGAAGAAATTCCCTTGATACAGGATGGGACCATCCCACATGACCTCTCTCAGGGACCAGGGCTCCGGCAGGGAATTCAGAACTCAGTCTCCACAGCACTGTCCCTAGAGGCTTCAAGTTCTCAGCCCCAGACCTCAAACTCCTTTGCCCTCTCACCTCCTGAGCACCAGTGACTGAAGCCTGTGGTCAACCCTCTTCAATGCCATGGGGCCCACTGCTGGAATATGGCTGTTTAACATCTGCCTCAGCACTGAAGCAAGGAACCTTCCAAGTTTCCAAGCTATCCATGTAATCTAGCATGGCACCAAGTACACAGGGCTGCTAATTCCAGAGCTGTAGCTCCTGAATCAATGGGAAGAGGCTGAATGCTTGTGCTGGCAGAAGCATCTTGGTCCCTCTGACAGTCTCTGCCTCCCATGAGTGGGTCATTCCTGGAAAACAGGAAGAACATCTGCTGAACACAGAGACCAAGAGGTCTAACGTTTACGTCTCCGTGGTCCTTGCAGTGCTCTCTAGAGAGCAGGACAAACACCTCAGAGGCGGCTCCCAGACCCAACTCCAGTGAGGGGAAATGCCCACCCAGATTGAACCAGGACTGTGTGGTCCAGACCAGGCACCTCAGCCCCTGCGATACTCAGGTGGCCATAGAGTGTCTTGTCTGGGGCAGGGGCTGCCACCCCTCTCAGAACCACCGCTGACATGACTCAGCCTCTTGACCCTGAGCCTTCTACAGAGACTTGAGTTAAGATGGCTGGATGCTCCTTCACAGGGCAGCTCCTCAAATCTGTGATGACAGGGAGAGTATATCCCTCTAATAGCTCCCCTCCCAGCCCCAGTACCCCTAGGTCCAGCAAGGCAGCTGCATTTAAATAACAAATTTGCTGGTACATTTAAATACAACCCGAGTTATTCAAATTCAATTTACACACAGAACTTTAGGAATACATTATATAAGATGCTGATTAAAATAGTAGGGTGACCCTTAATGAGGTTACTGGATTCTGCTTTATACCTCTGTCAAATTGACTTTTAAATAAAAGTGAGCTGAATTCTTGGGTCAGGCTATCAGTTATATGCTGCTGAGCACAGCAGCTTCCCTAGATCAGTACCAGCAGGAACATGTTACAATATAGCTGCGAAAAGCTGCTCAGCACAGCTCTGGCTACATCAGTACCTGAACATCTAAGCCTTCTGCAGCTAACCCACCTCTACAGTTCTGTCCAGGAGAACCAATCAGCTGTCTTATCACACACACGTCTTTGGGTTTCTTCTTTTCTCCAACATGTCACTATTAACCACTGAAAAGAACTGACAGTGCACAGAAAACCTGTTCCCACGTTTTGGTGTGTGGTCTGAGTGCACCTGCGCGTGTGGCAGCCAGAGATGGGTGTTGGGTGTCTGCCTCAATCCCTTTGGTTTTGAAACAGGGCCTCACTGAACCTGAAGCTCACCTATTGGCTAGACTAGCTGATCAGTGAAGCCCCACCATGCTCATCTTTTTACAGGGGTGCTAGGGATCCAAACTCAGGTCCTAATGCTTATGTAGCAAACACTCCCCAGTGAGCCATCCCCTCAGCCCCCCATTTTTGTTTTCTTTCTGGAGAGAGGGTCTTATGCGGCCCAGTGATCTTCCTGCCTCCACGTCCTGAGTGCCAAGACTACAGATGTGTGTCACCATACCCAGTTATGCAGTGCAAGGGACTGAACACAGGGCTTTGGGTACACTAGGCAAGCACTCTACCCACTGAGCTAGGTCCCTGACCCACTTCTCTCACTTTTAAGTGAATATTTAATTCAGTAAGTAAGACTTTGTATATTGAGCCTGGAGATGTTTTTAATATAGTCTCAGCCTCTCTCTCTCTCAAATAGATAAAATAAATAAATAAAATATACCATAGTGGGTCTGTTCTAGAAACCACTTGAAGAAAACTATTAACTGCCAGTTTTCAGGAAAACCTGGGTGGCTCTTCAGGCCAGTGAAATCTAATGCTGTTTACACTGTTACACACAAGGTGAGGAACCAGGCTGAAGTGGCACCTCCCCAGACACTGGGCTCGGCAGCTTCTTACCCAAAAGCACTAGAGAAAGGCCACTTTGAAACATGGGAGAGAAAGGCCCATTTTCCTGGCATGGCACTGAGGTTCTTCAACACCCATCAACCACTTGCCCTCAATTTTCCACTGCTCATACTGCAGCTCCTGGGGCTGCGTAAAGAGCACTCTGGCTGTGAATGGGAGAGGGAAAGACTGTTGTGGTTTTGCAACCTTAAGAGTTTTTTTAGGGCAATCCTACCAACTCTGGAAAGTGGTACTGCTCTCTTCCGACATCAAAAAGTTTTTTTAGGGGAGCTGATTTTATGTCACAAACAAACCTGTTCTCAGTTGGAAGTATAACTTACTTACAATACAACTTACACAGTCACTTTATGGTCCAATGAAGCACAGACTCTACTGATGGAGAATTAAGTGGCAGAACTGATTCTTAAGGAGGAACTTGTGATAACTCAGGGACATTCCTTCATCTTATAAAGAAAGGAAGCAATCAGAAATGGCAGCTACCGATGCCCACCAAGGTGGCCCTGGTACTGGGCTGGAGCCCTGGCTCTCTCAGAGCTATCTAACTCAAACTTCCCCAGTAAACAGTTTTAAAAGATCCTATCCAAAGATGATCTTTCTTTTTTTTTTTTTTTGGTCTTTTTGAGATAGGGCTCTCTGCAACACCAGCTGGCCTGGAACTCATATGTAGACCAAGCTGACCTTGAACTCACAGAGCTCTACCTGTCTGTGCCTCTGCCTCCCAAGTACTGGGATTAAAGGTGTGCTCCACCATGCCTGACCCCAAAGATGCTCTTTTTACACCAGAACTATATACATGTTTGCAAAAAGCATTTTCATCACTAGGCTTGAAAAGCTTTTAGTCCAGTGAAAAACTTTATCTACAGGCAAATTAAAGCTCTTGTCTCAGCAGTATTAACACCAGACTAGAAAACTCGTCGAGGACCATGGAGGTCAGTTCATAAGCTTTACATGATAGTTAGCATTTCTGGCCCCAGGTACAAGACTGACAGCAGACTTGGCATCACACTGTCCTCCTACAATAAGTTTAAAACACAAAAGGAGCAAGTGAAGTTATAAACATCCCTGCCTCACATGAAGCTTGTACTAGTGTTCAACCAGCAGGTGGACCTGACCTGCTGAGTAAAGGGCTATGCCCGAGGGCAGCACCCATCCTAACCCACATCAGGGAACCACACAATGTGTCTACAGAGCCATGTCTTTCCCAAGGAGGAACAGAAGAGTTCACACAACTATCTATGTTCCTACAGCGCTTATGAAACCATGAGCAAATGATTTACAGTGTTTCAGAATAAGCCCTGTACTTAATGGTTAAGATGTCAAAGATAATGTGAAAGCTGTGGTTAAGGGAGGCTGGCAATCCACCAGTAGCCTCAAAAGTGGAGGCTGTCAAATTGGCACAGGCCTCACCCACTCTTCCCCACTGACCCAGTCTCTACTGCCCTGAAAGCCAAGCCTCCCTCTCCAGTCTTGCTGCCTGTGATCGTGTAGGGGAGGCTACCATAGGCCTCTGGACGGGCCAGCTCTTATCAGTCTCTGAGCCTGGCATGAGCACAGTCCAGGGCATGTCAACATGAAAATGCTCATGGAATGCACAGGACCGTCTGCAGGAAAGCTTGATTCAAAGGGCCTGTCCCACTTCCAAAGAAAAGGACAGACAAAACGTTAATCATGTTTTCCTTTTAATAAGGGGTTTTACTCAAAAGGGCAGCTTCGAAAATCTCTAGCTTATTGTGAAAACCAGAAAAGCTAGGGAGCTGCATCACCTTGAACACCACTACGTGAAGCCATGGCTGCTACGCGTTTGCAGCGATCAGTTGCCATCACGGGAAGTCAATGCACCACTGTGAAATCAGAGCCAGCATTTAAAATTAAGGAGGAGGATGAGTATCCTACTTTGATTGAAGGAAAAGGTAAGTTTTTAATACAGCAAAACAGAACACAAAAAGTAAACAAATCTTTAGAAATCACTAGATATATATGTGTATATATTTATATAATTAGGATTACCATCAACATTTTAAACTATTAAAAATAAGGTTGCCACCTTACCTTTTTTTTTTTTTTTTTTTTTGGTACTGGGGGTATTATTTTTTTAAGGAGAGAAAAAAAAAAGACTGCCAGACTCTACATGTAGTCTAACCTCAGCCCGGCCCTGCTGTGTTCATCCTGCCCTCCGCTGGACATCCAGGGTCTAACCAGGACTCTGCTGGCCCAGGCAGGGCAGACTCTCATTCCGGTGCTCAGCACGACAGGCCTGCCAAAGCAGAGCTGAGTGATGAGCCGACTTCTTCCCCAGGAAGAAAACAAAAGTGCCCACAATGGGTCTGCAAACTCTTCCAAAGGCACCTCTTCCCTTTGTGGCTATTCATGTATCTGTTTTGCCCAGAAGCAGGATGGCAATCTTAATCAAAAGGGAAGCTAGATCTTTAAAATAACTTAAAAAATCATTTTTTATATAAAGCAGCAAAAACATACTTTCCTCTCTGTGGAAAGAAAAATGTTAACAAGGAACCACAGCGATGTAAGTGGGCTGTTCAAAACTTCTGCTAAACTGATTTCCCAACTCAGCGCACAGCACCTTAGAGTTGCTCTTTCACTTCGTCGGCGCTGCCTGAAGATCCTTCTGCGTCTCCGATGGCCCTCTCACTCTCTTCTGGAGTTAGGCTTTCGTTTTCAGACCTGGTCCCATTGGGGATTGCGCTCTCCCCATTGAGGAGCCCGCTTCCAGTAGCCTTGGCTTTGCTGACAGCCTCCTTGAGGCTTAAGGACTCCTGCCCACTGGCCTCTTCCTCGAGATTTCTTAGGACCAGTGGGAGGCTGGAGTCTCCCACACCCCCCTCCAGCAGCCCCAGGTCACTCTCCTCATACTTGGGGAGCGGTGCCCTCTCCTCCATGTGTTTCCGGTAGTATTCCCGATTGACAGCCGCACTCTTCACTGCCTTTTCCAAAATCTCCTTTTCACCTAGGCGCAATTTGATGGCCATTGTTGCACGGACAGAAAGGTCAGGGTTTTTCAAGACATTCTTGTCTTCCTGGAGAATAAAAACAGAATTAATGACAAGAACTCTAAATAGCAAAGCTGCAGTGAGAGGCAGGTCAGCTTGGGAGGTGCTAGAAAGTTCTAGAATTGACCATTTGGGTACTCTAGTGAATCTACACTTCCATCAAAACTACATTTTGACTTATGACTCTCACTATAGTAAGTTGCTTCTCAATAAAATTTATAAAATAAAGGTAGCACCTAAGTCAACCAGGAACAACACAGGAAAGATGATGTCATCCATTTTAGCAATTGCCTGGCTTGAGCCCTGATATGGTCTCGGTACAGAGCATGAACTACTCCATGAGAGAGAAAGAACTCTTTCAGCCAGACCTGGTGCTACACGCCTATAATTTCAGTTACTCAGGAGGGTGAGGCAGGAGGTTTCAAGTTTAAGAGCAATCTTAGTGAGAGACTCTGTCTCAAAAATATAGGTAAAAAACAGGGCTGGGCATGAAAGCCCAAAGTTTTACCTTCTGTAATGCACCATGGGGGTATGGGTGGGTTGAGAGGGGCTTTTGAAGCTAAATGTGAATTTATGTTTGTGGAATCTATTAAATGAGAAATGTCAAATACAAATTTTGCTAAAGAATTAGAACATACTTAGAAAGGATTAAAAACATGATAAAGTTCAAATCCTCACTTATCAATCTAATTACCTCAATTGTTGTTTTATATGTTTTTAAAAGAAGCGAGGCTCTATCTTCCAGAAATGTCCAAAGTTTGACCTCATTGTCCCAACTAACAGGAAACTCAGAGTTCCCCAAAGTGAAGATCCTGTCGATGGCATTGTCGCCTAGCAAATGTTCTTTCAGTTCTTCTACAAGAGAGACAAGCATCGATCAGTCAGGAGAGAAATAGCATCTCCCTGGGAAGCGATCTCTCCCACAGCACTGTCCTCCTGCAGCTATCAGCTCTCACTGACCAGTCAGCCAGCCGCTTGCTTCCAGACTCTCTAAGCAGAGCTGCACTCCAGGCCAGGAGGCAAGCGAGTCTCCCTAGTAGGCAGTCTACACTCAGTGTTGGAAATCCCCATTTATCACTGCTTTACGAGGGACACCGAGAACCTTTGGGCAGGGTCAAAAGCCAGTCTGAAGCCATTCTATGGACTCATGTTCTTCATTGTGATAGGACCTTTCCTGCTAGCCCCACCAGTCAGCCCCTCAGTCCTGCCAATTGGATCAAAAGGACACTAAGGTGATCACAACCACTCTGGGACCTTCAAGGACCGTTCTGATTGGTAATTCTTTACCCCATCTTCTAACAAGTAAGCCAAGGATGTAAGGAAAGCAAGGGGCTGTCGACTCAAAACCTTAGTGAAGGAAAGATGAGCCTCACTTGTCACCCTCACTTGCATCCCTCACTTGTCAGGAATCAAAATCTATACACACAAGTGAATCTCTCAATTGTCTTTGAAAATACTTTTAAGAAGAGGAAAGAACTCAGCAAGTGCAGAGCATTCTGTCTCCTGCCCATCCAATTCAGCTCCACAAACACACCCGTGCCTCTTATGTAACTGTGAGACAGTATCTCTTTCAGAGCAAAATGCCCCACAGCTGTCACTATTTACAATTCAAATGGAGGAGCTGTTGCCAGCAAACCAAAGTTTTATTAGTATTAGTTGGAGTAATTCAAAGACTACATCCATTGTCTTCACATGACAAATTGTCTTCCGATGACTAAAGAGAAACTAAAAAGCATCAGAGGACCAAAAATGATTTAGTTTTTTTCTTTTTTTAAAGAAAATGGATATTATCTAATGTCTAAAAAAGTCTTCATTCTTCCGTTTACTCTTTGTATGGTGATAAAGATCTTTATTTTCTAAAAAAAAAAAACTTCCCTGGAAATAAATTTATTTCCAAAGAATCTCAAATGCTAAGTCACTACTGTCACTTCCTCAGCCTGGCAGTTCTCTCCACAGTGGGGAACAGGGCAGACCTTCTTCGGCAAATACCTACGGGGGGGGGGGGCCACACTGCTGGAAG